AAGAGCTTAAGATTTCTCCATTACATGCTTTTGACTAAATATATATAAATTAACGAAAATAATTCAATCTAACTCTTGAAATGTAACATGTAAGGATCTGCCTCAGACTCAATCAGGCCTTGCTGATGTTTGGAGTGCTTAGCTTTCAAAGCTTCGCAGAATCCTTTAGCAGACACCTGGCACTCCAACATAAGTGCTATCAACCACTCAAGAAAGCCTATGTGGAAAGCAAGCATTGGCTTCTTTGGTGATGACGGCCACAGGTAGCTTCTCAGCATGGTCTCAGCTGGAAGTTCAGAATTGCAAAATTGCATGACTCGCTTATGTTGTCTGCCTGGAAGAAAATGCATGTAGACTATTCAGAGCTTTGGTTAAAATTATATGAACATATACACAGTCATTTCTTGATAAATTCAACTTACAAGTAAAAGAGAATACAGACATCTATACCATTTCATAGAACGCATCGGAAACAATTGTTGCCATAGATTGTTGCTTGGCGTTCAAGTAACTGATACATGGAATTAAGAGAAAAAATAATGTTGGTTAAGGGTATTATATATCTTCCAAATTTTAATGTTTTACCTACCTAAATTGATCACATCTTGTGACCAATCTCATTATAATCATATCTATGCTGTCCTATATATCTCTGAAAGCATCCGCTTAAGGGTCATGTTCTGTTAATCTATATTATTACCATAATTGCTAATTGTGTCAGCCAATCAGATGTAGTCTTATATCTTCACGTTTGGAGACTGCGCAGTGAAGATAAAAATCACGAATATGGACCAAACGAATTGATATACTTTCCGATTTTTGAAATCTACATTTCTATTGGCTTAATTCAAAGGTCACATGACCCTTAAGTGGTCGTCGTCAAACCTTCAAGTAGGACAGCGCAGATCTGATTTTGATCAGATGGTTCTTATACGAGGTAAGTAAGATGAATTAGGACAACTCTAAATCCGCTAGCCAACAACGAGAAGCAAAAATTGCTCTACTAAACTTACGCATAAGGTGTTGATAATTAACCTTTAGATGATGGTAATAACCTTTAAAATGTTTTGGGCACGAAATGTTACATTTTTGGAGCATAAAAACTAATCATGATCATCGATGTACAAAATAAAAAGTAATGAAAGTTGACAGAGTTCACCTACATTAATTAAAATAACTATATCTGAATTTTTTAAGCGACTTATTCACATTTAGTTCAAGTATTGATTGTCTTTTAGCACTAAGAAGATTTTGAATGTTCTCATTTGAAAATAAAAGCCAAACTCATCGATTTAATGGGTACAACTTTGCTGTAGAATATAATCAATTAGGTTATGCATATTTTACTCCCATGAACTAGAAAGAAGCAATACCCTTTCCAAAGATAAAAGGCCACAAGAATTGAAAAGAAAAAGTAATATTATTATAGCAGTAGTAGAAATCATAGTAATACTAGTAGTATTGGGGTACTAAATGAAAGGCTAATTGTCGTTGAATAGCAATCATAGTAATACTAGTAGTATTGGGGTACTAAATGAAAGGCTAATTGTCTTTGAATAGCAATCATAGAAAAACTAGTAGTATTGCGGTACTAAATGAAAGGCTAATTGTCGTTGAATAGCAATCATAGTAATACTAGTAGTATTGGGGTACTAAATGAAAGGCTAATTGTTGTTGAATAGCAATCATAGTAATACTAGTAGTATTGCGGTACTAAATGAAAGGCTAATTGTCGTTGAATAGCAATCATAGTAATACTGGTAGTATTGCGGTACCAAATGAAAGGCTAATTGTTGTTGAATAGCAATCATACTAATACTAGTAGTATTGCGGTACTAAATGAAAGGCTAATTGTTGTTGAATAGCAATCATACTAATACTAGTAGTATTGCGGTACTAAATGAAAGGCTAATTGTCTTTGAATAGCAATCATAGTAATACTAGTAGTATTGCGGTACTAAATGAAAGGCTAATTGTCGTTGAATAGCAATCATAGTAATATTTTTAGTATTGCGGTACTAAATGAAAGGCTAATTGTCGTTGAGTAGCAATCATAGTAATACTAGTAGTATTGCGGTACTAAATGAAAGGCTAATTGTCGTTGAATAGCAATCATAGTAATGCTAGTAGTATTGCGGTACTAAATGAAAGGCTAATTGTCGTTGAATAGCAATCATAGTAATACTAGTATTGCGGTACTAAATGAAAGGCTAATTGTCGTTGAATAGCAATCATAGTAATACTAGTAGTATTGCGGTACTAAATGAAAGGCTAATTGTCGTTGAATAGCAATCATAGTAATACTAGTGGTATTGCGGTACTAAATGAAAGGCTAATTGTCGTTGAATAGAAATCTTAGTAATACTAGTAGTATTGCGGTACTAAATGAAAGGCTAATTGTCGTTGAATAGCAATCATAGTAATACTGGTAGTATTGCGGTACTACATGAAAGGCTAATTGTCGTTGAATAGCAATCATAGTAATACTAGTAGTATTGAGGTACTAACTGAAAGACTAATTGTCGTTGAAGAGCAACCATATTAATACTAGTAGTATTGAGGTACTAAATCAAAGGCTAGTTGTCGTTGAATAGCAATCATAGTAATACTAGTAGTAATGCGGTACTAAATGAAAGGCTAATTGTTGTTGAATAGCAATCATAGTAATACTAGTAGTATTGCGATACTAAATGAATGGCTAATTGTCGTTGAATAGCAATCATAGTAATACTAGTATTGCGGTACCAAATGAAAGGCTAATTGTCGTTGAATAGCAATCATAGTAATACTAGTAGTATTGCGGTACTAAATGAAAGGCTAATTGTCGTTGAATAGCAATAATAGTAATACTAGTAGTATTGCGGTACTAAATGAAAGGCTAATTGTTGTTGAATAGCAATCATAGTAATACTAGTAGTATTGCGGTACTAAATGAAAGGCTAATTGTCGTTGAATAGCAATCATAGTAATAGTAGTAGTATTGCGGTACTAAATAAAAAGGCTAATAATCGTTGAATAATGGCTTTAAGGAATCATCTGATTCAGACCGAAATTCACCTGATGCAAGAGGTTATAAACTTGCATATATTTAAATTTAAGTTTTGCTTGTTCGGATGTTGAAGAGTGTCTCAGATTTTGAGGATGTATTTTGACCTGTAGGAACAATAAAGAATTTAATACAGTTTTCACTGAGAATGGTCTCACCCTGTTCCAGAAAATACTAACCAACAGAAACTAACAGAAATAAAGACCTAATGTGCAAAATGGCACCGTTACCTTGCTTTTGGCCAACGATTTCTCAAATGAATATAATAAGTGAAAACCAAATCACAATGCTGTTTGAAAATGTCACAATGTATGTAGTTTGATTCTGATACTGTCGGCATCTACATAACGTTTTTATTAACCAGTAAGTGCAAAATCAATTTCAATGGCCAACTTGAAGCATCATCCCTCAATAATGTCGCTATAAAATTACCACAAAAGGTACTGTACAACAATTGTATTTCAAAAATGGTATATTTGAAGTTTCTTCACACAGTACAAACTTCACGATATGGAATATCAACTGTACAATGTAAATTTGTCGATGCACCAATGTTCAGGGATTCTGTGATATTGTAAATAGTGTGCACTTTGTGCTGATAGTTCAGACTAAATGTGCAAATACGTCTTCGTTGTCCATGATGTATCAATGTTTCTAGTGTCCGTGATTTTATCAGCAATGTGCATCCTTAATTTGGATTGATAAAGATTAGAATAGATTTGTAAATATGTCATTGTTGGTCATGATGTACCAATGTCCACGGTTTCTGACTTTTTCAATAGTGTGCATCCTTAGTTTTCATTCAGTGCTGAGAGTAGATGTGTGCGTCCTTAGTTTCTATTAATAGTTCAGACCAAAGTTGTGAATGCGTCTTTGTTGCTGATGAGCTTCTGATGTTCACAGCTTCCGTGATATTATCACTATTATAAGTCATTAGTTTGTGCTGATAGTTCAGACTAAAAGTGTGAGTCTTCGTTGTTCATGACATACCAATATCCACGATCTCCGTGACTTGTCAATAGCGTGTCCTTAGTTTGTATTAATAGCTCAGATTAGATGTGTGTGTTCCTATCTTGTATTGATAGTTTAGGCTACAAGCATAATCGTGGTTCATGAAGTGCCAATGTCCACGGTCTCTGTGATATTGCGAAAAGTGTGTGTCCTTGGTTTGTATTGATAGTTCAGTCCATATGTGTAATTACGTCTTCGTTGTTCATGACGTATCAATGGCCACGCTCTCCCTGATTTTGTCAATTGTTTGGATCTTTAATTGGGATTGATTGTTAAAACTAAACTAGACTTGTAAACATGTCCTTGATGGTAATGATGTACCAATATCCACGGTCTCTGTAATTTTGTCAATAGTGTGCATCTTAAATTTGTGCTGATAGTACATAATATATGTGTGCGTCCTTAGTCTCTGTTAGTTCATGTGAATACATCTTCATTGTTGATGAGCTAAAAATATCCATGGTCTCCATGATATTGTCAATAGTGTGCGTCTTTAGAGTGTATTGATAGTTCAGACTAGATGTGTGAGTTTGTTGTCGTTGTCCATGAGGTACGAATGTCCACGGTCTCAGTAATTTTGTCATTTATTGATAGTTCACACTAGGTGTGTAAATAATCTTTGCTTTCAATGACCCATCAATGTCCACACTCTCCTTGATTTTGTCAGTAGTGTGCATCCTTAATTTGTATTGATTGTTAAGTGTATGTGTGATTTGCATTTTTAATGTAGCTTTAACGATTCGTCTGTCATATTGCTATGATGTCTGTAGTGTGACAGTTGAGAGTGATGTCTAGCTCTTGCGAATCATGCCACTGACATACTGCATGATTTCCCACCCAGTCACATTGTTCTGACACTAGTTCTACCAGTACTAACACTAACCTCTTAATGCTGTGCACCTAGCGAGGCAGCTATTAGTACCATTTTTATAAGTCTTTGGCATGACTTGGTAGGGGTTTGAACCCGCAACCCCCTCCCCACATTTGAGGCGGATGCTCTAACCACTTGGCCACCAAAAAGGTCGTACTGATTGTGACTGGACTAGACGTGTAAACGTGTCCTCGTTGGTCATAATGTACCAATGTCCACGGTCTCCACGATTTTGTCATTAATGTGTGTCTTTAGTTTTTATTGATAGTTCAGACTAGATGTGTAAATGCATCTTCATTGTCCATGATGTACCAATATCCATGGTCTCTGTGATTTGGTCAATATTATGCATCCTTAGTTTGTAATGATAGTTCAGAATAGATATGTGCATCATTAGTTTCTATTCATAGATCAGACATGATGTGTAAATGCGTCTTTCTTGTTGATGACCTAATAATGTCCACTGTCTCTGTGATACTGTCAACAGTGTTCGTCCTTAGTTTGTATTGAATGTTCAGACTAGATGACTAGATGTGTGAGAGAGTCTTCATTGTCCATGATGTAACAATGTCCACAATCTCCGTGATTTTGTCAATAGTGTGGATCCTTAATTGGTACTGATAATTCAGGCTACATATATAGATGTGTCATCGTTGTTCATGAGCTACCAATGTCCATGGTCTCCATTATAGTGCCAACTATGTGCAACCCTACATTGTATTGATAGTTCAGACTTAATGTGTAAATACATCTTTGTTGTCTATTACGTACCAATGTTCACAATCTCCATGATATTGTCAGTAGTGTATATCCTAAGTTTCTATTGACGGTTCAGACTAGATGTGTAAATACGCATTTGCTGCCAATGAAATATGAATGTCCACACTCTCCGTCATCTTGTGAATAGTGTACATATTATGGACTGATTATTAATACTATACTAGATGTGTAAACATGTTCTTGTTGGTCAAAATGTACCAATGTCCATGGTATCCATGATATTGTCAATAGTGTGCGTCCTTAGCTTGTATTGATAGTTCAGACTAGATGTGTAAATGCGTCTTCGTTGTCTATGATGTAGCAATGTCCATGGTCTCTATGATTTTGTCAATAGCATGGATCCTTAGTTTATATTGATAGTTCAGAATAAATGTGTGCGTCCTTAATTTATATTAATAGTTCAGATTAGATGTGGGTATGCATCTTCCATGTTGATGTGGTATCAATGTCCATGGTCTCCGTGATGTTGTCAATAGTTTGCATCCTTAGTTTGTATTGATATTTCAGACTAGATGTATAAATGCATATTCGTTGTCCATGACGTCACGGTGTCTCTGATTTTGTCAATATTGCACATCCTTAATTTGTATTGATAGTTCAATCTAGACAAGATATGTAAACATGTCCTCGTTGGTCATGATGAACCCAAGTCCGCGGTCTTCATGATATTGTCAACAGAAAGTGTCCTTAGTTTGTATTGATAGTTCAGATTAGATGTGTAAACATGTCTTCATTGTCCATGACGTTTCAATGTCCATAGTCTCCGTGACTTTGTCAGTACTGCATATCCTTACTTTAATTGACAGTCCAAGCTGGACTAGATGTGTAAACTGGTCTTCGCTATTCACTAGGTACCAATGTCCACGGTCACTTTGACTTTGTCAATAGTGTGCATCCTTACTGTGTATTGATAGTTCAGTCTAGAAATGTGAATAAAAATTATCCATATGTCACGAGAGTTTCATCTAGCAGTGAAAAAAAACCCTTAAGAAAATCGGCTTGTCCGATCGTCCGTACTATGAAGAAAACCAACATTGTTAGTAGTAGGGTTAGGTAATTATTATTACGGGAGTAATGTATTATTACCCCAAGCAATGGCCAAAGTAGAAATACTCAAGACATTATTTTGACGAGGTTCATCTTATTTTTTCATATTTATTAAATGAATATTTGTTCCATGTCGGGTTACAGACATGGGCCCTCTACTGCGAGATATGGCAACAATCGCCTGCATGCACGTTCAAGCATAAATATTAACACGGCTGGAGCGAATCGTAATTGCAATATACTAGTAGATCGGGCTTGCGAGACGTTTCTGGGAAAATATCATAATTACATTCGTCCTGTCAATTCGTCCGTAATCAGAAGAAAACCGTATTTTTTTTAAGCCCTTTCAATGTTTAAGACAAAATGTCGATTAAACAAGTTTTCTTCCCAACGGCTGGACTTCTTTTCATGTTCCATATACCAAAAGATCGGCACGAATAAGTTGCGTCTGCCAGTGGAAACTGCGTTCTGTTGGCTCCGTCCGTTCGTCCGTGAGCTCCAAAAATCATTTTCAGCCATGTTGGGTCATATGAATGTGTGTTTAGCTTAAATCGAATTTTCTCCAAAACTATAGAACCCTTACTACAATGCTAGATACTTATAGACAGGTCTTGACAAGGCACGTCTGACAGTGTCAACCTCTTTGCATTCGCTCTGTCAGTTCGTTCGTGGGACGAAGATAATGAATTTGTTCAGGGCAATGTCGCTAAGGCGAGACAAAAGGATCAATTCAAGGTTTTTCGTAGACGCTTTGGTCTAGTGCAATATGCCATATGTCAGGAGATCGGTGCTGAAGAATCGCATCTAGCAGTGAAAACCCCATGAAAATTGGCATATCCGATCGTCCGTACGGTGAAGAAAACCAGCATTGTTAACAGTAGGGTTAAGATTGCGGATGACCTTGAAAAACCCACGAACGCCATGGGTGACAGAGACGAGCTTGATATCGGCCGACGGCGCTTGTGTTGGTGTGTGATATGCAATTTATAATTACTTGCGTGTTATTGTTTTAATTCTTTTTTATTTTATTTTATTTCTTTGCAAGTTATTGTAATGAAAAGTCAATCCACTGGATTTCATTTTCGGATAGTGATAGGAGTTATATTTTTAGATTGAGCGTATATTATATGCTTGTCTGCTCCCTCCCATGGCTGTCGGCGTTATTGTCTCGGAGAGGTATAACAACCACATTTTGTAAGAAGAAAGTGTGGTTGGCTAACAGGATAGCCAATTGTACCATCTCTACTGTTAATTTTTATAACTATGATCCAAATACGTCCATTTCTTTTCTTTTAAACATTTTTCTTCATCGGCTTTTTCCCAAAATGCGCGTAATTTGTGTACAGTATGTGGTGTTCTAAAGTCTTCTTCCATCTGGGTGGGGGTCAACTCTCATGGCTGCTGGTAGTAGGAATTATAAAGCTGGAATATTATTTTAGATTCACAAAATCAAACTACGAAATTTTGATACATCAGTACAATACTACATTGATATGACGTCATCGTAAACCATCTTGGAACTTCGTCGAACTTGGATTCATTTAGGACTGTAATGATAGGACTTATATTTGTTTATTCGAGGAAGAATTTTTGGACTATAATCAACAACTGTGAGTCATTTGTTATACTTTTACTGTGTTTTCTTGGAAAATAAATTTTAAAGCTTGTTTACTTCACTCTTTTTTATTACTTTTAAAGTAGACTATATATAATAGTATCTATATTTTATATAAATAAGCATTCAGTTACATATCAGTGAAGAAATAAATATATTAATCAAATGCTATGTTATAATGACGAAGAACAGAATAAGAAAGGATAAAATGAATTTTAATTAGAAACGTTTGATATAATTATATCATTTTTTTTCTTAAAACAACCGATACATGTTGGATATAGGTACAAAGATAAATGCATGCATACATACATGCATGCATGCATGCATACATACATACATACATACATACATACATACATACATACATACATACATACATACATACATACATACATACATTCATACATACATACATACATACATACATACATACATACATACATACATACATACATACATACATACATACATACATACATTCATACATACATACATACATACATACATACATACATACATACATACATACATGCATGCATGCATGCATGCATGCATGCATGCATGCATGCATGCATGCTTACATACATACATACATACATACATACATACATACATACATACATACATACATACATACATACATACATACATACATACATACATACATACATACATACAGTATATACATATATACATAATTATTTCAGGAAGTAGGGATGTTATGTTTTATAATGTATTTGAACTTATTCACAACTTAAAGATGTACTGTCGTTTTGCTCGTATATCAAATATTTTATTGAACGGTTTTAAGTCTGGATTTAGTCGTTTATTATCATACTTGTTAAAACAAGACAGAGGCTTATGATTGCTTGATAGATAAATAATTGCATGCATTCACACACACACACATACACACACACAAACACACACACACAAACACACACACACTCACAGAGAGAGGGAGGGGGGAGAGAGATACATACACATACAGAGACAAAAACATGTACTTTAAAAAAGTCACTTTGAAAGATTTCTTTTTTACTTTCAGTCATTTTTTTTAATCAGAGAAAGTTGACATGTATCAAGGGAGGTAAATCGTACAGTAAGTTGGACCGCAATTTTTCATCAGTTTCAAATAGTGACTAGCAAAACCCTTTTCCCACCATTTTTATGCATTGACTGTAAAACATCTTACTTGCATGTTTTCTTTTTTTACTGTATGATACAAAGAGACATAAAAACAGACCGACAGACAGACCGATAGAAATACATTGCTGTTAAAAATATTGTATATCAATAATTTTAAAAATGTATGTATTAGCAAATATATAAGTATCTTAATCAAATGATATGTTTTCATGATGAAGAACAGAAGAAGAAAGAATTCAATGAATGTGAATAAAAAAGTATATCAGTGTGTTGTTAAAACAACATATAGACTTATAGATACATACATACATACATACATACATACATACATACATACATACATACATACATACATACGTACATACGTACATACGTACATACATACATACATACATACATACATACATACATACATACATACATACATACATACGTACATACATACTACATAGTAATTTTTCATCAGTTTTAAACATTGACTTCTCTCGCAACAAAAAATGTTTCACCAGATTTTCTGGGAGAAAACCCCACCTTCAGATAAAATCATTTATTCAAGCTA